AAAAAAAAAAAAAAGAAAAACTGGACCAGACGGGGACAGGGCCTAGAGGGGCCTCCGGATTCATTCACCTGGCCCAATGTAACCCCTCAGCAGGACAGCCCTCCTGTCAAAAACAGATGTCAGCTGGTGCTGTCCATGCATTTCTCCAGGGCTTGGGGCTTCCCAAATGCTCGTTGGTGGTCTGCTCCAAAGTGCCCAGCCAGGCTTACAAACTGAAAATGCCCCTATTCAAATGCTCTGTGCTTTCAGTTTGGGCTTATTCCCCTTCTCAGAACTTCCACTCTAATAGAAATCTGGGAACCCCCCAGTTCCCCTTTCTGAGTGTCCCCTTCAAGCTACCCTCTCCCTGCACCCTCCATCCATAAACCTGGTGAACTGCTTTCTGCCCATGTGTCCCATGGAACTTCCTGCCTAGAGCTTCTATTTCTGGAGACTTGCCTTCAGGATCAGGAGCCAACATAATGGCTAAGCAAGCTTTTGCTTTTCTAGAACACCAATGTTTCCATCGCCATCGGGGTGAACTCCAATAGGATCGTTGGCTCAGTGACCATAGGAAGGTAAGAGACCAGGGAGCAGGAGATGAATGAAGGCGAATGGGGACATCCTGGTAATGGCCAGATTCACTGATGGGATCAGAAGTGATCCCCAGAAACAGACCTCCCCAGACTGGGGCATCTTCCAATCCAGTGTCCCTCTGGAGAAGGCACAGGGACAATGCCTCAGGGAGAACTGAAGAGGCTGTCTTCAGGTCACCTGAACTCTAGGCTCCTCCCTTTTCCCTGTCAGGCTTCTATGGAGGCGCTGACTCTACAAAGGCAAGAACATGTACAGGACAGTCTAGCTTATGGTGAGAAGCTGTGTCATGAGGACTTTGCACCTAATCAAAAAAAATCATCAGCTGCACACATCACAGGCAGGAGGTCTTGGATGGAGGGTTTCAGTGCCCCGAGCCCCTGCCTGTGGCTCCCCTGCCCAGACTCGTAACCTCAGTAAACAAATGTATTAAGTTGGTGAGTCAGGGGGGAAAGAGGTCAGGTTTTGGGCAGCAGGGACTGTACTGCCTCCTGGGGCTAGCACTTGTCTTCCGTGCTAAGACCTATGTCTCACCTACTCTATGTGCAGTTCCATGCTGGGGTTCACCAGATGAACTACTTCCTGGCTTTTTTTTTTTTTTTTTTAAATACTGGGGACTGAACCCAAGCCTTCTCATTGAACAATATTCCCCATCTGTTTCTTAAATATTTTATTTCAAGACAGTGTCTTCCCAGAATGCTAGGATTACACGTGTGCAGAACCACCATGCTTGGTTTAATTCCTGGCTTTAGGTTAGAGGTTGAAAAAATGGCCTGAGATGTTAAAGAGAACATCTCCTTCAGAAGGCTCTGGATGAGAATTTCTGATCAAGAAAACCAGCCCATGGGCTGGCGAGATGGCTCAGTGGTCTAAAGCACCTACTTGGAACAAGTTTGGGAAAGCACAGGGACCGCGGTTCGATCCCCCAGCACCACATGCCAGACAGCCCCGCCCCCTGGTGGGCTGAGCTGGCCACACACACACACACACACACACACACACACACACACACACAAAAATATAAAAAAAATCCTCCCACTCATTTAAAAAAAAAAAAAAAAAAGAAACATGTAGTGCATAGATTTCTGTATTCCATTTTTTCCACTATTTACACCATCATTTCTTCAGGTTATTAGCACACTCAGCAAACTTTAGTCTTAACCCCAGCACTCACTCTCAAGCCAGTGTGTGTGTCAAGCCCTGCACCCACAAATTACACACTGCAGAGGAACTGCCGGGTACCCAGTTCCAAGCAAAATACTTTACCCCCAAGCACACTGCAAATTCCACCGGGGTGACAGGGGAAAACCTCCAGCCACAGCCCAGCAACCCACACATCTTTCTTTCTCTACACAGTGAGCTGAAGTTTGAAGTGAAACAATCCAACCTCGGCAACATCAACGTGAGTCATTTCTCTCAGCAGCTCTGTTTTCCTCAATCAAGGTTATCATGTTGCAGTTCTCCAGGAGACAGACCCAAAAATGCCTGCAGGCTCACAGGAAGTGGGACAGCTAATCTAAAGGTTAACCAGGCATGAAGAGCTCTGCCTGATACCTAGAGATGGGACACAGACCCTAAGGGCACGAGCTTTGGCATAAGATACCAGCTCTGCCACCTGCTGGCTGTCACCATGGGCAAATCACGTGACCTTTCCATTCTAAGCCATTTTCCTTTTACTGTAAATGGGAATAATAGTAGCATCTATTTCAAATGGGGCTGCAATATGAAGCAAGGAAATGAATTAAGACACTGTGATGAAATGCCTCACACATGAAATGCTCTTAAATATGTCTATTTAAGCGTACTGGAGTAAGAGTAGCATAGGGTTGGCTTTTTCTAAGCACTGGGAATTGAACCCAGGCTTTGTCCATGAATAATGGGTTTCATAATGGGTTTAGGAATTGAGAAGTTGGGCCAGAGAGATAGCTCAGTAGAATAAGCACTTGCCTGGCAAGGGCAAGGTCCTGAGTTCAATCCCCAGTAATGGTGCATGTACCATACGCTATATAACACTTCTGGCAAGATCTGGAGAATCAGTCTATAATCAAATACATTAATATTTCTGCAATAAAATTTTATATATTCACATAAGGCAGATCACCACTAAATAGCCTCAGGATAGCTCCAGTCCTATTTACACTTAGGGAGAATGAGCTCAGAGATGAGAGGGTGTGGCCTCTGAGGAAAGGATCACTTATCACAACATAATGGTGGTGAACAGTCGGCGCCTGCACTAAGTGGGATGACAAGTCAGTGTCTCCAGAGGCCAGGCCAGGCGTTCCTGACTCCTGTTTTTGTCTTGCTTGGTCTCTGCTCTGGTGCCCCTTGTGCTTTAGAAGAAGCTGATGGAATCCATCTTCAGCTACTACACAATCAAGACCATATACTCCTCTCTCAATGGTAAGTAGCGCTGTTGCTGATTGTTCCATAGTGCAACCTCAAGCTTTATTCATTCACTCATTCAACAGGTTGAGCCATGCCACCCACCTGGAGCCCTAGCAGTCTCTGATCCTTGCCCTCGTGGGAGGGCAACCATAACAGGCAATTGCTATATAGTGTGTTGAGCACCATAACAGAAAGTGGGACTGTAGGAGCCGAGCGGAGGTGCCAAGAATGGACTTGGAGGTCTGGCAAGGCTTCCAAGATATAAGGGATAAGGTACAGAAAGGGCAGAGGAAAAAGGGACATTCCAGCAGTTGGCAATTCTTCCACTGGACCAGGTGAGGTGACACTGTTGGGTGACATGGACAGAGGCTGCCTGAGAATATGCAGCCTACCTCCACTACCTAAGGCCCTCTCTGGCTGGTCTCAGCACCTGCCTTTTACAACTAAGAGATAAGAACAGGTAACTTGACCTAGGCAGAAAGTGGGGCAGCCAGCTTGATGGAATCACTGGTTCATGTTCCACCACCCACTCCAGCCAGTTTGGGTGGTGGGTGAGGGCTCTCAAATGGGCCAACTGGAGCCCAAAGGGCTCCCCTCATCAGCCCACTGCTATTCCATCCCAAATAACCCCTGAATCCACAGCAGCAGCAAATGCCATGGCCTGTATGTTTTCTCCTGGTCTTCTGTGCCCAGCTCACCTCTCTGCTCTCCCCTCCAGCAAAGCTCCAGGAGGGTTTCCCACTCCCTCTTCCAAGGGAGACATCTCTCAACAGTGTGGAGCTCCAAATCCACAAGGTGTGTGAATACAGTCAGTGTGGTGAGATGATTGGGGAGGCTGTCTCAAGGGCTGGGAAGCAGGGGAAAAACAGGAAACAAATTTAAACTTTGGAGTTGGAATGGCACGTATCCATGTGGCATTTCAGCTGCACCGACTAGCTCAGTTCCCGATAATCCTGCAGGAACACATTTACTGAGCACCTGCACAGTGCAAGGTTCTTCAACCCTGGATGGCAGTAGTGAGCGGAGGTCAGACACCACTTGGGTGGAGGGACATCCTGAATAAGCCACAATCTCAGGAGTGGTGTGGAAGTTGCCCAGTCCCTGACCAGCCCTCCCGCCCACAGCAAGGGACAGCCTTGGAGAGGTGTATCCCGCGTTACAGGTGGGGCAGGGGCAAAATGAAGGGTGCACTTCTGTATCCAAATCCACAAGTGCTCACTACCAGTCTTCCCTGCTCATGGGCCATTCCCTCTGCTGGGGCCACATTCTAATAAACCAAACAGCTCAGGCAGCACCCAGGACCCAGGCTGGCTTTTTTCTCCTGAGGGAATCAACTTTTTGGAGAGAACGTCTTAAAGCAATCATTGAGGAACAGTACATCACGTAGCCCCCCAGGATCAAAGACTGGAGTCTGTACTGCCCTGGCCTTTGCCTCATGTGGGAAGGTGGAGCACCTCGGAGGCTCAGCAAGTGACGTTTCTTGACGGTTCTTTCTGCCTTCTCTCTAGAACCTCCTGTTTGTAGGAGCCTATTTCGATTAGGCTGATAGAGCAGCCAGGAGTGTGCATCTCGAGGAGACTGGACCTTGACTTGTGGCAACCCAAAATTGTTATCCATTTTACCAGACACTTGTTCACCTCATTCACCTATTACTTCTATCTTCTTTCCTTTTTTAACCTATTTGATACAAACTTGGACTCAAGCTCAGACTTGTAGTGATCCCCATTTTTAGCCTCCCCAGTGCTGGGATTATAGGCATACACACACCTGGTCCTGGTGGCTCAGCACAGCCAAGGAGAACACTGTGGTGCAGGGGATTAAGCCCCAGTCCCTGCGCTTGACTAAGCAGGTGCCTACTCCACTGAGCTATCTTGCTGGCCCACTTCTATTTCCTTGAGTCAATTCCTCTATTATTCATTAAATTTCAACCTTTTATTTCTATGTAAGTACACTAATAAATCTCTAAACATTACATCATTCTGATATATAGAATTTTATTTACTCAGCTATGGGTAGTTTCTAATTCCCCTAATGGACTCTACTTTGAAGATTTTCTTTTTGAGAAATGGTCTTGCTATGCAACTCAGGCTCATTTTGTAGCCCAGACTGGTCTCGAACTGAACAATCCTCTTGCCACAGCTTCCTGAGTGCTGGGATTGCAGGTGTGCACTACCACACCCAAAATTTTATTTTGAAATGCTTAAAACAATTCAAATATATGTAACTGTTAAACTTATCCTTTTTGAGGGCTGGGGAGATAGCTCAGCAGCATGAGCTCCTGCCTGGCAAGCACAAAGTCCCGAGTTCAATCTCCACTACCACAAAAAAATTAAAAATAGGGCCAGGGAGATGGCTCAGTAGAATAGGCGCTTCCCTGGCAAGCACAAGGATCTGGTTTCACCAAAAAATAATTAAAAAAAAAAAACATGAATTACCCTTTTTTATGTATTTAGTACAGGGTTGCACTATGCAACTCAGACTCTATTAGTAGTGATCTTCCTGTTTTTAGCCTCCCCAGCATTGGGATCACAGGCATGTGCCACCTAGCCCAATCTTGGTGGCTGGCTCAGCATGTCAGGGGTCAGGGCCAGTGCTGGTACAGGATGTGGTTTAGGGGACTGAAGCCCTGGTCCCTGTGCTTGCCTAAGCAGGCGCTTAGTCCACAGAAATATCTCACTGGCTAAACTTATTATCCTTAATTACATTATAGTACCATTAAAGTAGCAAACCTAATTCTTTGGTATGTAAGACTTTAAATTTGAAACACATAAAATAC